ACAGCCACCCTGGAAGATTTTTATGGGGTCCCCCTAACCAACTTTTTTAGACTGAAGAAGCTGCTTGGACAAGTAGTGAAACATCTGTAACCAAAAAGAAAAGAAGTCTACTTGCCATGACTCAACCTCCAGACAATTCCACCTGGATAACTGAGAATCTTCATAAACAACATCCCATACAGTTTACATGGCAAATGTATATTGATTTTATGTTGAACTTTTAGATCCCCCAAAGCAATACAAAAGTGACAGAAATGCAATCCTTTAACAGCTTCTTAAAAATCATCACCAAAGTCAAGGACATCTGCAACAATTGCTGGCTTGAAAATGGCAGGGGTGATTGAGTGATTGAAGCTGTCCCCTTTTTGAAGTCAGTGTGAATGCCCTGCCCTGCTCAAAGATCAAGCCTAGCCATACAAAGTAGATCCACACAACTGGTGCCCTGAAAGTTGAGCCATATGGCAGTAAACTACTTCCTGCTTGAACCACATGTCTAGAATTGTAAAAGCATGGATAACTGCCCAAGTTCTGTTGTTGCGGGAGAGTGACTGAGGTGGCAAATATATAACTGCAGAGATTGCTGAAAGTTAAGAAAACATCTTTGATGCAGGCCTTGAGGAGAAATGTTTCAGTGAGAATGGAGATACTTTGTGCCTCATCATGCTGCATACTGTGACTCCTTGCCTATAGTTCTCCACTGCACGGGCCTGTGCTTGCAACAGAGGAAATAACCAGTGTGCTAAGGTTAGGTTAAAAAAACAAATCCAGTTCCCTGAAGAACTTTAAGTACATGGTTCTGCCCTAGCATGTTCTAGTAACAGTTTGCACAAGTGATCCCTACTATATTTGCAGTGGGGGGAAATATCAATAGGAAAAATTGTACACAAAATATATTCAAATAGATAGATCATATGTGTACTGCAGAAACCATCATTGCTATGGAAAGACTTAGCTAGCACTAGTAAATGGCAAAGAGAAACCTATTATCCATATTCCTATGTGTGCAAATCCTTCCCAAGCAAATTTCTTCTGCCAACTGAACTACAGTAATGCCAAAATAATATATACTTTTTAAAAAAAATAATTTGGTGCCTTCAAGTCAGCCTTGGCTCCTGGCGACTGCCTGGATAAGTCCCTGCAGTTGTCTTGGCAAGTTTTGGAAGTGGTTTGCCATTGCTTTCTTCCTAGGGCTGAGAGAGAGTGACTGGCCCAAGGTCATCCAGCTGGCTTTGTCTTTCTGAAAGGGAAGTATCTTTTTGGCTATCAGGTCAAAACAAAGCACTTTCCTAAAATTGCTGATTAAATAGTTGGGTGTTGAAGGCAATCATCTGAAATTCTGTTGGAGTACAAATAGAACACAACTGTATTCAAGAAAGCTCTGCCATCAGCATCTATAGGCCTCACTGCCTTCCTCAGAATGATGAAAGCATCATTGCAGCATCACAGCACAATCTTTGCCCCTTTGGGTCATGCATGTGATGTCACAGCACACATAGAAAACGGGTGGGGTTCGCACCATGGTGCTGCAACACCACTTACATCACTCTAACTCCCCCGTACTCCCTCTGCAGATGCTACTGGATAAGAAGCTTCAGAAACAAAAAGAAAATAATCTCTAAAAACAGGGAAAGAAACAGAAGGTAAGAAATTATCTGAAAACCCTTTGCAACAATCCAGGTGCTAGTAATACAGAGTAGAAGAAACACAGAGATGTGAGGTGGGACAAAGGATTAACAGTGGTTTGAAATTATTACGGAAGAGAATGGAATGGACCTGAATAAAATTTCGCTTGGGTGCCAAACCAGGCAACTGGTATTTTTACGAAGGACACAGAGTGAGAAGAAAGACACACAAAGGTTATATTTTGGATTACTTCTCTTGTTGAAAGGATTACCATAAAGATTCTTGCTGTAATAGCAAGATGAATTGTTCAGTCAATATTAGCAAAGGAGAAATAGAAGAAAAAAATTAAAGGGAGAAATCTTTTGATTATATAGTACAACAACCTTCAAAGAACATTGGAAAGAAAACTTTATATGATGATTTCATAATCTTCCTTTTTTTCCCCCCTTTCAGTGGATTTAACCCTTTGGCACAAAGCAAAAAGATGGAAAGCTTTAGTTTTCTGTGAAAAGATGTTGACCAACGTCAAGTGAGCAGTATCTTCTGACCAGGTGTATGCTTACCCTGTTGCCTTTAGCGCCAGGCAGTCCCGGGGGCCCTGGTAAACCTGGGAGTCCAATGTCTCCCTCGGCACCCTGTAAAAACAATTAGAGATGGCAGAGTGTCAATGTCTCCCCTCAGCACTTGTGGACTGAACAAAGGGACAGCTGAGAAAGATTGCCAGGCCTTGAGTCACAAGTTAGGCCTTTCTTATAGCTGACTGCTCATCTCATTCAAAACTGTAGAGTACATTGAACTGTGCCCACTACTTCATTGTAATTTGCTGTTTCAGAAAGCAGCACCTTCTTGACTTCATCTATCTGCTAAAACACTGGGGTCTTTATGGTGTTGGGGAAATGCTATAACCTACCAAGCCTATAGTGCATTCCCTTTTAACAGAGAATTCTTTCAGACTCTGAATATTGAAACTGGCCTTCCAGCAGAAACCACACAAATGAAATCTGAATCGTTTCAAAGAAGGCATTCATGCTGGGTAGGTACTAGTAAAAAAAAAAAAAAAAAAAAAAAAAAAGGTGGCCTTTCAGCATTCCTGTTTCTTGTA